TCCACGTCAAGAAATTAGTCACGAATTCTCCCATTGCACCTGATATATCCAAGTCACATAAATCAATTAATCAATAATTATCATGATCATTTGGAAAAACTACCATTTATGGTGATTGCTCGGTTCTATGTTTTCCAGTTATCAATGACTTTTATGTAGCAATATAAATACATGTAAACGACATACAATAAGATGATTTTAAAAAAGTGATAAATTGTGCTATATAATGTAAATGCTCAGCCTATTGATAATATCAATTAGCGTTTTTTCTAGAGCAATAAATCTCATGATCAAATATCAAAATATACATAAATCATATATAATAAAAATAGTCTACACATCAGAAAAAATAAGATATCCCATGCTGACTTCTATTAAACATTCTTGCACTTTCATAAACATGTCAAAGGAGAGAGTTATCATTTTATATATGATATGAACCATACATTTTAAAAATAAAAAAAAAATTATTTTTATTTTTATTATTTTAATCACTAGTCATCTAACTAGAAAGTACATCATCCTTTCTGTTATGTGTAATTTTTATAGCCATCATGTTTGCAAGAGTATTTATTTGTATGAAGTGAATCAAATATAGGCATGTTTTAATCCTAATCAATTATACTTATATTAATTGTCCCTCCATATGAAGGATACATCATTTTTTTCCATATAAATATCACATTGTATAAAAAATTTGATATTTAATCAAAAATATGTCTGAATTAACCATTATGTTAAATATATGTTAATATTACAGTCAGATATTAATAATATAGCTATATCATGCATCTATGTGGGAAAAGAAAATGGAAAAAAATGCAAGGAAAAAAACACATCAATTCATGGCAGAAAAAAGATCCATACACAACCATACACAACGTAATACTCGAATGCATAGATTTAATAGAATGAACATAGATGATCATGATAAATTGATATCAAATTTTACCGAATTTTAACTTCAATATTAATCTTACCACAATTTATAAGGAGTGATTAAACAAATATAAAGCACGCACATACAATGAACCTATCTACATTGACAAATGTGAAAGATGACAGAGAGCACCAATCGAATTTGTTATGAATTGTATTTGTTACATCAAAAGGTAAGAATAACATCTTACACAAATTTTGGCAAAGATTATGTTCTAATGCAAAAACCTCCAACATAAATCTAATGGCAAAATATAATAGTTAATAGATTGTTACTCCCTACTGTATTTGTTTCCTTTTGCAATGTTATACACGATGGATGGATTTCATATCTCCACTCTAGTCAATATGCATCGGGGTTTGGGGAAAGGGATGGATGACACCCGCATGGTAGCGGGATGCCATGGGATGGAGAGTTGGGATGATAAAATATCCCCGGACGAAAAGAGGTGCGCTTGGTGTTTGTTGCCTGGAAGCTCACCGCGACATAAAGGGAGGTGACAACTGATTAACCCCGCGGAATCTGCTTGTTATATACCCCGGAAAAAGTTGCGAAATTCACAAGTTGCTGACTAGAAATGATTATAGGGCATAAAACATTCACAAATGGAGGACAAAAGTGTTCATGGCAGTCCGACAAAAAAGATTCTAAAGTTGATGTCGCTCTTCGCTTCTCTTCTCTTCTCCGTTGGTTGGCCATCGCTTGCCCACTACCGTATGGCACCACTGCAGTCTTGCACCTTCGGTCCCCTCCTTCTATGCTCTGCTCACTGCCAATTCTCTTCTTTCCAGAAGAAGACAGCCACAGCACAACGTAACCAGACGTTTGGTCGGGTCGCTCAGGTCCGCTATGATTTGTAGCGTTTCTCCGTCGGGCACAACGGGGCAACTCGGCGAGAGGCGGCCGTATAGTGACCTCTACCTCGCTCTCTTGAGCTTTGCTCGCCACCGGAAAGTTCTCACACCTCCTTTGCCATCTCTTTCCCACGCTGCCATCAATTTCCGTTCGTTCTCTAACTTGCGTGGATGCATTTCTTCTTTTTGCTTTAGATGTCAACCTGGTACCTGTTCTCGTGCAGGCTGTCAAACATGCTATGAATACAACTCGCGACAAGATCTCGCCACATGCAACATGACTGTCATACGAAGAAGATGCTGATCTCTTTGTTTACATTATGTTGTTCAAGAAATCATACCAAAGCCTTCCGACGTAGGGCACCTAAAAAATCATTGACAGTCTGAACGCTTTAATCATTATCTTTTAACTTCATATTCATTTCATCTCTTCGTTAGCCTTCGCCTGCGGGCTTACAACTTTGACATTGAGTAGAAATTTGCATGCATTCGGGTGCAACCATCTTGACTTGAAACCTGTGTGTCGATTAGGTTATATATTTTTTCACCTGTATGGCTCTCGACAGAATGACTATCTACACAAATTTCCTACGACTAAGATGATCTTTCTAACGAATTGAGTATGTGCTGTAATATTTTCCATAGGCACGGAGTTTTTTCAGGACTTTTATAATTCATTTGTATGAGATATATTTCAACTGTTATCGTCCGCACAGGTATTGAGATTCAAATAACAAAAGTACTTTTGGAGGAGGTTTCAAAGAAAATGATCTTAAAACCTGCAAAAGGTATAACTGCAAATAAAATATTCATGCACGCACACAGATCTAGTATAGAATAAAACATAGGGGCCATGGTTGAAGATCGTACGCGGGCATGTGCAAAATATAACATATTTTCCCCTTACACCGCAATGGAAGTCGTGTTCATATTTGGACTGCGTTGTACAAATTTTTTATTGAAGTTTGCTTGAATGAAGAATTTTCTGCCCTGCATAGATTTATTGTTTATTGATATTTATTGTTGTCGAGATTATACTAGTTTTAGACTTCATTAATCTTATTGTTATGTTCACATTGATCACATGTATGGAACACTCGCGGTATCTTGGAGAGAATCCGTGTCTTTTCTGAAATAAATGATGCGCTTGTCTCTTAAATTATGCTAATATGCATGTTTCCTTTTGTGATGTGCTGCGGTCGTCTGTTGGTTTTCTGATGGAAATAGATTCAGTTAGAAAACAAAAGAAGAAGGGACTCGGCCCGGTCCTTTATAGCAAGTTCTTGGATGTCCATAGCAAAAGACAAGAGAGGGAAACCAAGACAAATAACTCTGTGAACAAATCTGGCCCTTTCCTGAAGCTCGGGCATGGTCGTAGCGTAGCAGGTGATGTTCTTGTAGAGAACAGTGCAGCGATCGTTCCGATTCTTACCAAGACTTGTCGCGTGCTCGGATTTCTTGACTCCAATCGTGAAGAACCTCTGCCCGGAATCGGATGATCTCAGTCTAGGAGCAAAGACGGTTCCCATGGCGTCGTCTTTTGTCCAGTGCTCCCGTGGGGACTCACTCCCGTCCAGGCTTGTGGATTGGGGAGTAATTCGGCCATTTCTCCGGGAGTCCGCTCGTTTGCATACAACCCAGCGCTATATATACCCAGATTGTACGCTTTGGGAAAGGGCGATCCCTGCAGGCGGACTTACGCTCGATGCCCGGCATGAGTCGGGCCTTGTTTAACACCCACTCCCGTTGTGGAGCAAGCGCAAGCTTGCTTTGTGGAAAGCCGGAGTGATGATTTGGTTGTAAAGTACGATATGTAGGGGTGCTAATAATAAGGAATCTAAATTAGAGGCACCTAAAAATAGCAAGCCTATGACAGCAGAAAATAGATTCTGTGTGGAAGAGAATCTCATTAATGCCGGTCTGTTGTATTTCGCCTTTCCTCGGCTTTCCTTTTTACCTCGCTTTCCTCCACTGGAGGAGTGAGCACAGGACACATCTGCGCCGGGATGGCGATGGCCATGCAGCCATGTGCATGATGGCCATCATCGGCAAAACAAATATAAAATAGAATAAAAGCAGCGCTATGATAGCGGTCAGAGTAGCAGCCAAAGTTAAAGTGCAGTAGAATCCACGTGACCCGGACGATTCCCCATCGTACATACAGAGAAGTAATGCGATGCGATGGACTTACATCGAATGGGCATGGATGGCCATGCGCGGGGCCATCTTTATGTGGAACAGGCGGATGACGTCTCGAAGGTTCATCCCCTGCGAATACAAGAACAAGCGGACCATACATGCACAGCGGCTCGTGGAAACCATAGCGCACGGAGAACAGTATCTCCCTTGTGAAGGCTGCTGCCCCTGCCCGCCCACCTTCTGGCTTTCCTTTTCGCGGCAGACGGGCTAGGACCTTCGGAGGCCCGGCTAGTTGACGTTTTGACGTGAATATAGCGGAGGAAGTCACCGCCGATGTTGAGTGGGTGTTAGGTGGGCCCGGGGCGCGCTCCAATCATGGCGACCCGAGATGATGGTAAAAGATGATGACGCGGCTGACTCCGATGGCTCGCAGTGGTCGAATTCGATTTGACCCCGTGGGTCCTGCGATCGGGAAACTAACAAATTGTCCTTACTGACAGCGTCGCGTCTGCTGAGGAAATCGAGGTGAAAACATATTTGTTTCTTGCGGACGGTGCTCCGTCGTGCGCGCCGTCGGAGTTGTTCATCGACTTCAACACAAGAGGCGTTTTTGTCTATTTTAAGGCCGGGTACAGTGCCGGGTCGTTCTTGTCTCCTCTGAATCTCGCATGGGAAAGCGAAAGGGAGAAAAATGAATTAACAATGCGCGGTAGGAATTTTCGGTCTCTGTCCCGTTCTTGTGCTTTTGATTCCAGACCAGAACGTCGCCAGCCGCTTGCTGGCGGGGCGGGGCGGGGATGGGCCTGGGATGGGATGGGGTGGTGGGGTGCGATGGCATGGGCCGGGATGCACTCGAATGAAGTTTCGCGCACGGTTGCGCTTGCAAGTGTGCGTGAGCGCGCTTTGGACTGCTGTCGCGTCTGCGCGCTCGCTCGCCCCCCGCCCTCGCGGCGCAGATGGACCAACGCTGGCCAGTGGAGTGGAGAGTGGAGTGAGTGGCTGGCTAGCCTGCTTAGCTAGACGCAAATTTGTGGCAGATCGATTCTATTCTCCTCTGAACGGGGGCAATTGGGGCGGGGCAGGGCACCGGGGCACGGGGGGTGCCACCTACTCACTTTTCGCAGGTATAGAGTGAGTAGTGCCTGCGTACCTGCAGCGTCGCAGCCAAAGGCCAATTTGGTGCTTAGAAGAAAAGCTTGAGTGAGCGCTCGAGCCTCGCCCAGGCTCGGAATTTCGTCTTTTTCCAGCTCGAAGGTTTGCCCTTCTTTCTGCCCTTCCCCTTTCCGTTTCTTCCCCACCACCAGCCCCACCCCGACCCCGCTGCCTTGCAACGGGCTGGGCGCCTGCGGGGTTCGTGGGAGGGCGCGGGGGCGGGCAGGCTGCTCGCTCGCTTGCTTGCTTGATCCTCGCCTGAAGGCGATGTGTGAGCCATTCCATTCCTCCCCGCACACCTTCATCCCTTCCATTGCAGCAGCAGCAGCAGAAGCAGCTCGTACTGCCTGCCTGCCTCGCCTGTCCCTTTCTCTCTCCCGACGGAGGGCTGCTGTCGATTTCAGCTGCTAGCACCTCCCTCGTCCCCCACCTCCCGGCTCAGCTGCTCTGCTGTTTCATAGCTGCTCCCTCGCCTTTCCTAATTCCCCACTCCCCTCCCCTCCCCTCCCCTCCCCTCCCCTCCTCCCGCATCGCTCTTCCTCCTCCACTCGTCTCGTCTCGTCCAGCTTTCTCTTACTTTCCAAGTAACTCGACTCGTTTACCTCCGTCTCTCTGCTGCCGGGCCCGTTTCCAGTCCCACAGTTCCCGACTCGGTTCTTCGTTCTCCTCCCCTTCCCCGCCTCCCTCTTTCACGCGGTCCGTCGTCAGCCCTCCCTTCTTTTTCTCTCTCTCCCTCTTGTCCTCAGTTGCGATTTGCAGGGTCTTTGGAGTGTGTCGGTGCAGTCCCTGCGTGACTGCAGTCACATCATTTCTTTTTTTTGCTCGTACTCTCGTCGGCCCTCGCGATTGTTTCGTGGTTTGTCGTCGTTGCCACTGCTGCCATTGTGTTGTGCTGTGGGTGTACGTGGTGCACTCGGAGAGAAATGCTCAGCAAGATTTCTGCCATTGCCAGCACGCGGCGGCATCTGCCATAATCTCTAAACTCTGCGGTGCTCCATGACCGGCAGAGCTTTTGTTCCAGGAGAGGCGGAGTAGAGCTCGACTTCGAATCTGATTATAGTGGAAGATTTTAGAGCAGGAGTACCAGGATGGGTAACAGGGTTTGATATTTGGCTAAGGGTTTTCAAGACGTTCAGAGGCGTCCGGGTGTTGGTGTACATCTTTCTGAATGTCTGGGGAAAGTGACGACCTATTCTCTCCCTCTGCCGGGTTGTTGTTTCCGGACATCACTGACAATGCCGACGACCTGGATTTTACGAAGGATTTTTTTTCCGATGCTATCAGCAACTCCAATGACCTCAATGTGAGTTTTTGTACAACAAGTTGCCCGTCACGGTCTCTCGTTCTGATTTAATCTTTCGCATCATGTAGACTCTCGCGCTTGTTGTCATCGATTAATTATGGCTATGGATGAATGCAGGCGAATGCATATGACGGCATGGGAGGTGATGACTTGATAGCGGACTTAGAACGTCAGGATGATTTTTCAAGGTTGGGACCCTCAGACCTCGGCGATGGCTCGTCATTCGGAGTGGACGTCGAGCACAAAAGCGGCTTGGCAGGGCCTCCTCCGCCGTCGTCGCACAACAAGCCTTTTGCAAATGGGCAGGTTTTGCCCACGTACGGAAACTTTCAAAAGCCTTCTATCAATTTGGCCCACATGAACTCTGGCTATGGTGCTACTGGCGTATCGGACATGTACATGCACAGGAACGGGATCCCTGTACTGGCTTCTCCTACTTCACCAGCTCTAAAATCTGGTGGCATGCTTTCTCCGGGGGCCACCTCGGACAAACTAAATTGCTTGTCGTTGGATCAAATTGCTTATGGAGGTTACCGGTGCCAACCTTTCGATGTCAACAAGGGTGTCTCTCGATCATTCTCGAAAGGAGGGCCGTTTTCTCCTGGGCTAGTGCCTCATAGCCCAGCTGGAGACAAGCGCTTTTGCTCCTCTCCACTTTCTTCCCCTACTGTACAAGCTTCTACCCAACACAGCAATTCGAATGGAATTTCTTCCTTTGCCTCCGGCAGCGGAGGACAGGAGATTTCTAATGGAGATGTCATGCATTCGTCCTCCTCTCACGCTGATGCCACCTCTCCCCGAGGTCTAGTTAACGTCATTGAGTCAAAAGACTCTGTCGATGGGATGCTTGTGTCCGATGGCAGCATGAAAATCTCTCAAAGTAAATCGATATTCTCTTCTGCTGGCTTTAGGATGCCTACTCCTGTAGATAGTGGTGGATTTGTATCTCAAGTTGACTCTAGCGGAGATGGACTGCGCCCTCTACCTTCAGTAATGCACCCGTCCCGACCTCCAATCATGCAGAGGAGCTTCAGTAGCCATGCCCTCGGCCAGCTCAGGACATTAGCTCCTTCATCGCAAGGCAATGATCAATCAGCGCTTAACTTTTCACAGAGAATGGCTCCCCTTGACACACCTAGTCGACTAAGCAACGGGAGCGGTAGCCCACACCTGCAACCCCAGTTGTCGGACTTGCAGAACATCCACATGCGACCGCTTATGCAGTCCATGCGGAGGGTGCACAGTACTGGAGACATACAGGTGAACTTTCTTCATCTTTGTGGTTCTCAGCGGATTCCCGGCAGCAGGTGGTATGTTTTAGCACCATGAAATTGGTACATTTGAACTTGTTCTCGCTGGTGAAAACTTCACAGGTCACTGGGGAGCGGCTCGTGTTACAGCAGAGCTGATGTTGTATTGGCGTCTGTTTTTTCAGACGCTAAATGGCATGGCCGGAGGCGCTAGCAGTCCATCCTCCCTGGATCGAAGCTACGAAGACGGTGGTTTCAAAATAGGCCGCTATACTATCGAGGAGCGGAAGATAAGGATACATAGATACCAACAGAAGCGAACGCAAAGGAATTTTAACAAGAAGATCAAGGTAATGGCCTAATGTGGTATGGACGCCTGGATACAGTAATGAACCGTTTGAAATGTTCGTATTACCGCATACTGTTGAAGTTGAGAGCGCAGTTTAACGAATGTGTGGAATTCACTTTCCAGTCGAAGAGAATTGGCTGCATCTTTTGAAGAATCATTGTGTGACAGGTTGATTCGCGAAGCAGCTGAATGCCCTGACCACCGATTGTTTTCTTGACTTCACAGTATGCTTGCCGGAAGACATTGGCAGATAGTCGGCCTCGAGTAAGAGGACGATTCGCCAAAAATGACGAGGTGGGAGAACCATTGATGAAAGCAAAACATGAGGATGAGGATGAGGAAGAGGTATCCGAAGTGTACCTGACATGCATTCATACTTTCCTGTTCCCGTTTCGCATAATTGAGAGGACAGTGGGTAGCAAGATCAAGAGAAATTTGTCATCTCGTACAAGGTTAGGATTTTGGTGTCTACTTACTCGTCTTTCTTATGTCACTTTTTATTTTTTTTCTTATCGGTGAATGTTGTACAGGGTGACATGATATACGAAGAGGAGGAATTTTTCGTTGACGAGGACTCCTCAGGAGATCTTTCTGAAGTTTTAGGAATGAATGGAGTGAAGTTAGAGCACCCTCCGGCGAAGGGGATTAAGCTAGAGCATCATCACAATGATCGCAACCAGCTACTTCAGACATAACCCGAACAGAATTCAAATGTGAGGGAAACTTTTTGTCTCAAGCTTTGACCCAAGAGAGCATCAGGATGACTGGAACTAAGCAGGCAACCACGACGATCACTGCAACACTTTCAATCGAGACTGGATCTGATCTGTAGCTCTGCCAACAGAGCAGGGCCTCACTTCTATTTTGGAAGGGATGTTGCAAGAAAGGTAGACATAAGTAGGTGCGTTCCCTAAACTATGCCAGACAGCAGGTTAATTGAGTACTTTCTGCTACTACTGGGAACATTTGTACCAATAAGTTTGAGTAGAATGCTTTCGTTATAAGGTGCACAGAGGGATGTGCTATGTCGGGTCTACATCAACCTCTGCTTGTAAAAGTGAGATGCGGAAGGACATGTGGGGGACGTGTCTTGGGAAGTGAACAATCTCCAACCAAGAAAATAGGAAGCAGTTGTAGAAGGACTGATGAGGATAATATTTGCTCCTGTGTCACCCAGCCAGTATGCGTGGTTATAAAAGTAGAAGGTGGTAATAATTTGCCCATTGTAAAGCTTAGGGCTTCTGGCAGGAATTTTTTTAAACCTTATTAAGATCAGTTGCGCTTGCACCTTCTACATTAGCAGGTTTGTCAGTTGGTGACAGTGGTTTCCATGGCCCAATATTGCAGTTACATCGTGACCATCTGGGTTGGGAAGTAGAAATGGGTTGATAGTTAGAATTTACTTGTCGAGAACTCTGTGGATTCTCTGTTCCATCAATTTAGTGTAAAATTGCCTCAAACATCCTTTAAGTAAGGAGCAGTCTCCAAGATTTGTACAGGATATTATGTGTTTATGTAAATTGCATGAGTGGTGTAAACTTATTTTTTCTTCATTCTAAATTCTATTGTCAGCGAAGTAGAGGATGATCTATAGAACCTTCACCAGAATTCTCGCTGTGTGTGAATGTGCAAATAAGGTGGATATCGTTTTGTCCAATTTAATCTTGTGAATCTTTGTTGTGGTTTGTACATCTGTAAAGTTTTTTTCTTTCAGAAGTTTTTGTTATGGCCAGCCAATTAACTTAGATGGAATTGACACTGTTGAATGTGTATGGATGTCATTGTGGACTTGCAGCTGTGCAATGAGTAGTTTTCTGCACATGTATGTTCCATGGTGGGTGGACTGAGATTCTACATCTTCTGTGGACGACAGAAGGTTATTTCTTTCATCTCACTGATTGAGCGCCCATTTCAAAGATTGCACACGATGTTAATATGATACTTACCTCAGCTTAGAAGGGAGAAGATGTATGTAATTACGTCCGATGTGGAACGAATATATAAAATTGTTACCTTTGTTTCAACGTGCGAGAGTTTGAGAATAGATTGGAGTGTTTGGTTTTTTGTTAAGAGTATAATGAACGAAATTTCAGGTCTTCGCGGAAACGAAAGTTCCAAGAAATTTTGAACGATATAAATACACGGGTACGTTACAAATCCGCACATATTGACTAGTTATGTAAATTTTGTGTTTTGAAACTTAAGTATCTTCTTATGTAAAGCAGGAAATAAAGCATATTTTATCACAATCGAATGTAGCGGTCAGATTTGAATTTTCATCATTTGTATCGTGAGTCGCTGAAATTTTTGTGCCTGGATTGTTGGTAAGTAGGGTTTTTCATTCATCCTCCTTTCTCGGAATCAACACCAGTTAGTAACTGAGGGATGTGGACGGTCCTCACTGCGACTCGAACGAAAAAACGTACACGCAGTGCGCGCATCCTTGTTTCCCAGCATAAAGTTTTGCGAAAATAATCTTCACCAGAACTTCAGCTGGAGTTGGGCTGCGGGAGGACATTGTGTTCCCGTCCACACTTATTGAAGGGTGATAAGATGTGGAAGCAGAACGCATCAAACAAAAGTGTCAAATTACCAAATATGCTTGAACTATTTTGTTGCAATTAATACTTTGTCATTTACGTAATCGTCACAATAGATGCACATGGACCTCACGGAGACAATGTATGTCTCCACGAGGTATAGTCTAACCTTTAGTTTTTCCAACATGGAACTTAGGCGTGCATGTTGCTGTTAAAAATTAAGGTCATTGGTCACTCCATGAGCTTTGCATTCATGCTCCATTCTTAAATTCTTTGTCTTGTACACTGAATTTGAATTAGCTGCCGACGCGTCATATAATCCTGAGAGCAAACAAACAAACGCTAATTTGTGCTTCTTTCTGTTAGTTACTGGTGTTTATCCTTCTACCTTGTGCGATTTCCTTCTCATATTTGACAAGTGACAGATCACTTATATATGACATTATGAAGAGTTGAAACACATTTTCAACATTCCCGGCAACAGTCAACAGGGTATAGCGATGGTTCAAAGTCAAATGTTTTACAGAGGGATATATACTGAGCAAGCAGTTTATGTTGGTCTCAATTGAAAACGATGTGAGACTTGAGTCGAGACAAAAAAGATCCATGCTTGAATTCTCTTTCACCTTCACTTTCGTGGGCCACTACCTTATGTTGGGGTTAATTTCCATACGACAATTGACCTTCAATATCCCCTACTTCACAAAATAAGCGGCTCTCTTATCTTGAATACTGGCACAATACTGAATACCATCATCATCAACGTCGTCATTGTCGTCCAGTTTGAGGTTACGTTTTGTAAACCGTATGGCTAAATTCTTTATTGGACGAAGATAAATCTTTAAGATGTAACTAACGTTTTTGCTGAATGTTATATTTTATATAGATTCTTAAGTATCCTTGGTACTTTGGTATCTCTATACTATCTCTTTGCAGATTGTGCAAAGTTGGTTAACCATGCTCATGTTCATTTATAAAGGATGTTAGTGTGTTTCTCGTTCGACAAATAATCTAAAAGTACAGCACATCAAACCAAATGATTACTTCGTCCTTCTTATTACGTGAATTGGATGATATTTTGATTTGTCACTTAATTGCTTTGTGGGGCGTGAGTGGAGAGCAAAACGGAGATAATATTTACATTGTTTACTATCTCTTCCAAAATAACTATCTGATGTTACGCATTTTTTTCTATATCGCAAGTAGAAGTATTTTGACTGAGCATTCAATAAAAACCTGTAGATTTAATGGAACTTTACACCAATAGATGTGTATGCATGTATAATTCGTTGATTTTGAGGAAGATTTGGGCGACATGTAATGACTTTTTTAGCAAAAAGCTAGTATGCCTCCAACAATCATCCATTTCCATGGCCACGCTGCATCAATATTGAAAAATTGTGAGAATTTATATGGCTGCGTAGTCAGCGAATAAAATGATTCTGATTCTAAGAAGTACAATCAGTGCCAGCAATGAGGAGCAAGATGGCAGTCTTGAGCAACTGTTATAGTCATACATCACAGCGGCTGCCCGAAATCTACCGAAACTGTCTCGAGGAGTTGAAGTAGGGGGACAGAATGCTTTGATAATGGCATGGTTTGTGCAGATTTTTAGGATCCAGAATTACTCATCGAGCTCCCCATTCTGGAGAAGATGAAGAAATTTCTGCTTCGTCAAAGGACCAATCTCATGAGCCTAGGTTCTGCTGTCGAGGCTCCAGTGACGTCCATGTTCAAACTCCTGGAAAGATCAAGAGAATATCCAGCACATTGAAGCCATGTCCTTACCGATAAGAATAAGCAACAATGATAGCGATTTGATCTTTTCAATGTTAGGAGACGGATCAAATCGATTTCAGGATATGGACGACTAAGTACTACGAGACATGGATTTTTACGGCTAAAATTAAGAACGATGAGATCATCATGAACGATATCGCAAAAGCAAGAGATACATCTACAAGATGATGTTTTTGGCTGTTATTTGCGACCGAGATGGGACCACCTAAGAAGCAGTTCTTCGATGGGAAGATTGGCATCTGGCCATTGTTCATAAAGATTCAGCGATGAGAACTTTAAAAACCCGGAACGGACATAGGCGACAAATATTATTAAATCCATTAGTTCTGAGGAATACGTTAAATCGTCGAGAAGGTCATTCCAGCAGTTGAGCTGAAAAGGCCATGAGGAAGTAGAAATCTGAACATCAAGATACAAGAAGGCAGTGCCCGACCGGCTGAAAGCTGAATTGGGTATCTATTTTCTTCTTCTCCATCACCTATTACCACATGCATAATGCCTACTAATTTACTCACTCGCATCCTTCCTTCCTTCGTCTACCTCCACCTGCTTGTTCGCATCTCCAACACATGTTCTTGTCGATACATGTGCATATTCAGAAGCAACTAACTCATTCGCTGCCTGGCTCATATATATTGCTTTCGCTATCAACAGTTCTTTTATTTCTTATATTTATCCTGCGTTGTCGAGTTAATGTCCTGACTGCCTTTCCATTCCTAACTTGCTTTAATTCCTGATTTTATCTATTTTTTACTTTGAGAAGCTTTCCTCCAGCTTATCCCACTCTAACACTATCTAGTACCCCCATTAATGTCACAACCTCTAGATGAAGCTTAAGCTGTCGTTTCTTCCATGTTAAAAGACAATATTCCAGAGAGTTTACGACAGGTGGAATATAATTGGAGTAACTTGATACAAGGTCTCTGAAACTCTCGTTAACTTCCATTGCACATCATCATCACACATTGTATATCAATTGCACATCGTCTATGGGGTACCTTTATAGAGCCGTCAACACTCTTAACCAAATCTTACGCCTAACTTTTTCCAGCTTATATGTTTCTTGCTTTTTTGTCATGTGCAGAAACTTTGGTAATACTTGAGTGGGATAAAATTCTGTTCTGAAGCGTAAATGATAAAAACAAATATTTTATATATTTATCTAAAATCTATAGTTTCAGCTACAATCTCTGATAAACCTTTGAATGCAAATGAAAGTATCTTTGGTCGTTTAGGTAATTACTGACGGTTTACAGTCTATGCATCGAATAATGGATTTATATTCATTCTTGAGAGCTGAAGATATCATATACACTAACAATGAAAAAATATATCATCATAATAATGGAAATATATTAGAAATTAATATACACATGTGCAGATCTGGTCACAATAAATATATTGAAAACTAGAGTGGGTAATCTTATCAAGAAAAAATTGAATGCTATGCTTGACTCATATATATTAGATCTTTCTGTTTTTCTTTTCTTATTAAAAAACAAAAGGATCCGATCAAGTATGAAATCCAACAGTTGACAAGTGTCTAATAACAAAAAGCATGACATGGAAATATGTACAACTAAATGTGAGTATATCTAGACTGTCTTATGCAAAATCCTCTAAAAATTAGGAAGATTAAAATAATTACCAGATAAAATTATTATATAATTATCATCATTAATTATTTCAAATAAAAAATTAAATAAATAAAGAAATTATTCAATCATTCAATTGGTCCTGTTTAAATAATTTTAAATTTTAAATTGGTCCTGTCTTATTAAATTATTTCAGAAATAACATCGTATCAAGATAAGATAATTAGTACATATCTTCAATCAATATGTATATGATCTTCAACTACGAAACAAATTTGGAAATGTTGAATTTTTTCAAAGGAAGTAGTAAATCAACTGAATATAGAATAAAGTCAAATTCATATATTAGTGTTTTCAACTGTTACTTTAAATTTCCACTTGTCATAAATCATAATGCGAGATTAGATGTCATACTCAAAAATTGTAAAATATTTTGGAAGGGTTTGTTCAATGCAATGTTTTTTACCATGTCATGATTCTGATTACGACTTCAAATCAGTAATATTTCATAAATTCTAACGTATGATAATGATTCTCTGCCTGCTTTATGGATTATATTATTTAGTTTTTTCTCATCGCCATCCATTCAGGAGATACATTCAAAGTCTCAAAGCACTATATTTTAAGCACACGTTGAATGCATGTGATATAACCGTGAAATATGTCTTTTCTAATAACTAAACTTGGTGACTCGAAACTCAGTGGGTGCAACAGTCTCATTATTGCACTGCATATGCTAGACCCATAAAATTTGCTGTAAAACTTTCCAACTTTGTTACCTTTATTGAAGTTAAACTGAATGTATTGCTTGAAACATGAAATGAGCGTGATGAGCAATTACCAAAAATGTCAGCAATTTCGAGTCAGAAAAACTTGACGCGCACTGTAATTGTAAGATGTGTCAATGACGCGGTAGTTCCACTGACTCTACTTCAGTCTGCTATATTCAGTTATCCCCATTTATTAAATGGTCAAAACGATCTGATAGATTTTCCAGTGCTCAACATTAGCGTCACATTGATTTTCGAACAATGAAGACTTTTCCCTGCCTTCGTTATACCAATTTGTTAGAATTGTAAACCATTCGGAGAAATTAGATCTTCTCTTTAAGAACAAATGGCCGGTGCGATTTAGTCCTTAGGACATTTTAATCACCACGTTCATGTTAGAAGTGAGAGCTAATTGAACTTTAGTAGTCTAATTTGGCGATTTGATAGACGTAAGGCAGTTTAAGGTGGTTGGTATATTAGTTTGAAACCATAAAGAAGTTAATTTAAATGCAAATGATAAGAAGAATCTGTGACCTAAACATCAATTGAGAGTCCTCAGCGAACTAGTCAAACCAATTGACGAGATTACATGCCAGGTGAGGCCGCTTCGGTGTAGACTTTTAGCTGTAGAGTATGAGGCACATTTCAACGTCCACAGACAAGGCAAGGTTCTGGTACAATGTTACCTAATTTACTATGGAATCTAACGAAGTTGACTAAGTCACAGATGATACAATGAACCTGGCTACGAGTATCAAGAAAGTCCTTCAAGCCACCAACTGTGCCGTATGCTTCCCCAACTTGACTTTAGTGTGATTGAGAGATGAACCCCTTCCGTAGCTTGTACAAATAATGATTGCTCATTCAATGCCACATGGGCCCACTTCCATCTGTAGCATAGGTCCCATCCTGGGGGAATATTGTTTCCCGGGCAATGTTAAGCAGAAGAATCTACAAAGGTTAGGCAGGTCCCTGTTGCTTTATTCAGTCCATACAGTATTCCAACAAACAAACAGAAAGTAATCTGGCTCAACCATCACATTCTTGTGATGCGTTACCCTAAACTCCCGTGATTTACAGATTGTTCCTGAACGAGCCCTATGGGCACCTGCAAGACTTCATTTGTGGTGGTCACATACAAACCTGTGTACCATCCACAGCAGAAAAAATGTTCAATAGCTTAGCTCTAGAACAAAGATAATCGTTGCTTTCAAGATGACACCTGCTTTTGAGGCAGAAACAATCATTAGTTATATGATACGTACTAAGGGCAAATCCAATCATGTTGGATATCAGCATTGGATGAGAGAGCTCTATACTTTACATACATTAAGACGGGTAGAAGCCGTATGGCAATCTAGCTGGTATAAACCAGAAATTCATCCGTTTTGCAATATCGCTGGGCGAACTTTCTTCCATCTGTAGTTGGTTGAGAGAATGCGAACTGAGAAGGCTCCAAGACGACACCTAAACAGAACGTTTTCCTGCAAAAGACCCAACTTGTCAATATTGGTGCACATTCCCTCAGAGAACAGGTCAAGACTGTCTTGATCACAAACTTACAGCCTCACGAATCTTGCTGTGCAACACACCATAAACGTTTGTGCAGCTTGATAGAGGTGAGTATCTGATCTGGGACTAGACAGAAGTACGTGCGTGAGAGCTAATGTCTAGGACATAGTGAATAGGCTTGACCATATATTAGAACATGAGTCGCGAGGAAGAATACCAAGGAAGGAGTGCAGTAAGCGAGATATCACAAACTTCTATTCCATTCACGACTCACCTGTAGAAAAGACACAATTGTATTCTTAGCAAAAACCAGGTTGCCTCCATACCTCATAGCATCAAGGAGATGTGATGCAATTCCCTTTCGCCTTTCTGATTTCGAAACCCAGATTACTCTTGCTCCACATACTGCTGAAATAGGTGTCGTATTGTAAACAATGGCACTACTACCTAGCTCCTGTGCATGCTCCTGGCGCGATCTCTTTCTTGGTAGTACTTCCCTACATAGTTTCACATTGCCGAATTGTTGGAGTACATTTGCTCCAGATCTGACCTGCACACATGGCTTTTTCTGTACACTCTTCTTAGCTGAGATATCATCACTTTCCCTTCCCGGAAGCTCTTCTTCAGCATCCAGCTCGGTTTTAAGCAAAACTTCGTCTTTCATACATATCTGTACACCTCCTTTCCTATGAGAAGAATTTGAGGTATGGCTTTGATCTAAAATTGCATGGGCAGGTGGCCGATGCAAACTGGCCTCCTCTTTGACCTCTATCTTAGGTTGTAAGAAGGTGGTACTCGAGACACAATGCTCGGAGGTGGAAACTCTATGTTCTAACCTTGTCTCTTGTAAACATCTATCTACATGTGCCTTTAAGGGTTTGAAATTGAAGTGCATTGTGTCCACGAGTTCAAGATCAGAGGACACATGGTTACCCCATTTCTCCACCTGACCTTGTCCTGCTGGATCACTACAAAGTTTTCTAATCTCTGTCACTTTCTCTAGCTTAATCTTTTGTTCCCCAGAAACACCATGCTCCTTCACTTCCTGTGCTTCATCTGAAGCTGCGTTACCTGTTGCTCCAGCCTTTTGACAGTTTTCCTCTAGATTATCAGATCCTTCAGGTAAAATACATGTATTACGCGTACTGGTAAAATAATCAGATATTCTCGATGGTTTGTTCCACCCGCAACTGCCAACTCCCAAGGTCTTCTCTTTGTTTGCATGAGTATGGATGCGAGGAACAGAGTTCAAGCAAGGAGAAGAGTTGGAAGTGGTTGGAGCATTATCCGTTCCAACCGCTGCAGAGGTCCTTAGTTGCTGATAAAAGTCCGTCAGCTTCCACATTCTAGCTTTAGTACCTACAAAATTCGTCTCGCGAGTGAAGTTTTGGATATCCTCGCCACAAACACTGGACGCTTCGGAAGTATGACATGACGTCAAGGTGCTGCTGCTACATTGTGCAGAAAGCTGAGTGACTGGCTGGAGGCATACATTTGGAACATCATGTAATTCCACCACCTTCGTCGGATTTACTTCTCCAACATCTCTTCCTGGAGTTGAACGATCTGAAACACTAGCGTCAGACTGATTTTGGATTTCATTTAAAATTGTCGCTTCAGTACCCCCACGAAGTTCACCGGTTCTCAGCGAAGACCATCTGTCCACTCCAGAGTTGACTTGCTTATCGCCAACATCCTGCTTCTTGGATGGTAGTACCCTAAAGGCATGTTTGATTGGCTCCGCCATGAGACAACCGACCACTTTCTTCGAGGAAGATATGAATAGGTAAACCTGTAGACGGTCAGTTATGTCAGTAATTCTTTATCTTCCTTTTCCATCAGTTGATAAAGCAAACATGCGTCATGATGCACAACATGGGAGAAATCAAGAACAAGAATCCTACCTTGCATGCTGTCTGATTCAACCAACCAGGGCTCAGACCAAGCTCGACTTCCACGACATCAATGACTTCCTTCACCTGAAAGAGCAATCCAAGATGATTATAGGTTGATAATTGTGATGGATGATCCTCACAGATACTGTAAATATTCTACACACAACTATGTACAAAATTATTCCTTTGAAGAATTCCATACTATGCACACAACGCCGGATATTCACAGGGAAGATCATAGCAAACGGGCATACCCTCAGGAAAACTACTGAAGAGCTACAACATGCACCCTTGAATAGCAGGCTTCGGGAGGATGAAAACCAAGAGGGAAATGAACCAGCCTAGGCGAACCTTATGCTGATGATGAGTGTCCTCCGGAAGAACAATTATAACTCGGTTGCCCTTGTCATCCAACTTGCTAACGACTCGCTCCTTTTGCCAGCCCTGCACAGTAATCATTTCGTAAACAAACCATTTAGCTTCTGATAAGTCCAGATGTTTCAATCAGAAGCTTCGGATTCGAATATGGACGGACTACAGCATTAGTGCTTTTTCCGTGCAACAGCATACAACCAAAAACCACAGTTGAAGCAAATCGTGTACTTTCTACCCAGCTTAGATGTCTTACATATCATTTTATGCAGTATGCTTTGATACATGAAGAGGTAGCGCTGAGTCAAAATTATTATTACAACTAAGTACTCAACAGAGAAATTTAAAATCTAGACATGCCACATCCCTTACATATCATATTTAGAAGTAAAAGAAATCCAAGTTGAAATCGGATTGAGAAAAGTATCTCACATTGAATTGTATGCCTTGGGTCCTATTCTTGTGGAAAACTCGGTGAACAATTTCATCGTTTTCGAGACCACGAGCATAGAATAAACCGCAGACAGGGCAAGTGGAGTAAGAGAAATCTTTCTGGCCTAAGTCCAGAAAGTATTGACCGGTAACCCGTTTCGGCTTCAAAGCGACTGTCTTCTTGGACCCCATGTTACTCTTCAACCGGATAGATCTACATGATGACTTCCAGATCTCAAACCATGGCTTCTTTGGCTGATGTGCTGTAGAACCATAGAAGACTTCATGCTTTTTACACATCAGATCTAATTCCTCCTGATCAGTCTCGCTCTCATTCCCTTCACGATTCAACTTACTTGGAGGATTATTTCCACAGCTCTTCCTGAGATATCCAATTGAAACCAAGAATGTTAAAAGTGATCACATGGAGTCAAGAAATTTACTGCTAAGAATTTAAATTTCATATCCACTAGGCTCACCTCTTGTTGCCAGATGTTTGAACTCGCCGCTGATAAGTGAGAAAATCGCCATCATTATTTATATCATGAGCTGGATTTGCTTTGATAAATTCTCTGATGTACAATTGCAACCCTAAATGAGATACTCTTCAAGAACCAACAACATCTCCAATCAACGGTCTTGAACACAATTGTTCCATTAAAAAATGCATTACAAACAAAGCTGCAGGACAGTTAGATCCCAATACGACATTGACAATTCCCTTCTTCGAAATGAGATGCTGTATTACTAGCATTTTCAGAAGAAAAAAATACTGTGGCGAGGTAACATGAACTAAACTATAAAGTAGGTAAGTAGCGTTCGAGGTGAATGTACACACCTGGTGCTGATTACTTCCTCGGAGCATCCAAGGTTTTGTGTCATTTTATGACAAGACAACACTCAACAACTCTGCTGGGTACCGCAGTATATCTGGTACAGAAAAGGACCTGATCAGGCGATAGCTTACGAACATCAAAACTAAATTCACCTAGGAGATGGCTCCAGTGCGATGGTCACACGGCACGAAGCTGGGCCTCTGTTGACTTATAACAAAACAGATTCGGTGAATAAAATCCTACATTCTCAAAATTGACAGCACCGGGTGTGTTGAAAGCCGTACAAGCGAGGAGGATGTAGTAAACGAAGCTAACTTGGATCCTAATATTGAGAAATTATGATAGTAGAACCTGAAATGGTCGCAACTGCTGGTGAGCAGCTTGCATTGAAACCGAATGCGGGCTTCATATTCCGAATGGTCCAGCTGAGAAAGACCCTTAACATAAACACAATGCACCTGTATTTCCGATAGTGTCAGCTGGTGTGTTGAATTATCTTCTTAGCACAGCAGCCCACTCTCGAAGGAGGTCGGACCTTCTTCCGCATCATGAGTGCAAGACGTCGCAGCACGGCTCCCAAGTGCCCTCAAGGCCAGCATAAAAATCTGTTTTGTTTCGCCAAGTCGTCGAGCAAGCATTTGATTCAGATAAACTTACAGGTCCTGTAACCAGTTTATCCGCCGTCTCTTGGAGCAGAACACAAGCATGTTAACGAGTCAGCCAACGATGGAAGAAGAGGAAACACGTGAATGACGAGGTCCCAACTCATGCTCGGAGTTCAACCAAGAAAAAAATCCGCTGAACTGGATCCATTTCATATCGGAAAACAGCCCTGCGGTAGTCACAGATTACGACGTTCCTGCATTTCATTTCCTTCAGTGCTGAGATTCAAGACCGAAAACCAGGATCCATCGTCCCCTTGACAACTTGGGTCCTGACAACCATCCAATCCGTTGCTTCAACCACAAAAGAAGGATCAAAGTGTCCTCAATCATGACTTCTTCGAAATCATTGGAGTCCGAACAAGACCATGGATTCTACCGTTCAGACCTCGTGTTCCAGATACCTCAATGAAACACGAAAGCCTCGCTTAACAGAATCCGCGACGCAATCCAGAATCGACGTTCGGTTCCCCTGTAGCGCTGACAAATGTTGGAGGATCGCCGTGTTACCAAATACTTTCCGAAGAATTATGGGGCGAGGGATCCTTGAGGCAGGTGCATGATGTGCACCTTTCTGCACCGGGCGTTAACGTCAATCCGCGCAATTCGTCATCTGCCACCCCTCGGCAAGTTTGAACTCTGCTTCCCCCGTTTTTGCTCATGTGCCGAGGGCCTCCGATGCACGCCTTCATGCCTTCGTTTCCAATTCTGGCGGGAGCTCTGCAGCCCGCCAGTTTGAAAGCGCAGCCACGCCTCTTCTCATTTGCCTTGCTGTTTGTGATTTCTTCGCTGACGGCATCTGTTTAACACGGAACCACATCCTTTACTCTTCAAATGGCCCATATTCATCATTAGCTGTAAACATTTGATTCCTTACGATTCTGGTAGATGTGATGCACAACTTCTCTTCAATATTCCACTGGTTATTATAAAGCGTCATCATGTTATTCAGCAGTGCTGCCTCATGGCACGGAAAATCTGTCAATTCCCTTTACATTCAATATGGGGGCATATGTTTCACATAAAAAATGATATCGAAGTTGATATATTCTAAAAGCTTGAATTTCCTGAATAACATCAACTGCGTACAGTTTTACTTTTCATTCTTCTATCCACTTGGCCTCGTTCTTATAAAGAATCTACGGCACTATGTTAAAGAATACACAGCCTGAAACTCATACAAGTCATACTTTTTTATTATAAAATCCGAGCTTTGGTAAGGTGACGTTATTACTTCTTTTTTCAGTGATGTCGGAACATGTCCACCTCTTTTCTTCGTGGAACGTACCTTTTACGCTACCAATATTAGGTATCTCCAACGAGTATAACATGTAAACAATTATGTGGATGCTTCAATTCACGTTAGATTAAATCTAATTCGATACAGACTGTCCATGCATGGTTTCATATATACATGTGATTATCAATCATAGTGATATCAAAATATCGTTCATCAAATTGATCAGTCGAGATATAGAATTTCATCAAACTATAGATTACTGATGTAGTTTGCATACGTAATAAACATGTACGATTTTAGCTCATTCTTGTAAACTGAGTAAAATACATGTGATTATCATATTTATTAATGTCAATACAAAATGTGATTATAATGTATTATTATTTTTATGTACGTGTGTGTATACATATACAGAGATATCTCGTTGTATTGTTCTTCAAAAAAGCCACAAGCACAAACATTCATACTCGATAAACACCTACATCAATGCCACATCATGCTAAGTTCACATGTACTCAAAATTGCTTCATTGATAAAATCCTTAAATGTTCATCTGGTACTTTTGCTAGATATAATTTAGAATGACAACATAATCCTAACCCTCATTAGGTTTAGATTAACATTATCGAAAATAAACCTTAGTTAACTACTAAGAATCTTCTCCTTATTTCACACCCTGAAAACAATAAACTTTATAACAGATATAATTACTTCACAACAATTTTAGAAAGTAACCTAACTCAAGTCATCTTTGGATTAGAGCAAACTAAAACTAAGCTGTGATCAAATTAATACAGATTAAGAAAATATGTAGAGGTAACCAAAATTGCTAGTGAATTTTATACATGATTATTATGTAAAATCTCCAAAGTATTACAGTGTCTCCTACCATTTTATTTTTTAAAATTCATCAACTCATAAGTTAGATTAAATTTATCTTTAATTTTAAGTTACTCAATTTTGTTCAAAAATTTATATCTATGATATAGTGATAATTTATATCAATGTGTTTCATTATGATGTTCATTGTTAGATTTGCAACCATATCTAGTATATTATGACTCTCATAATAAAGTTTGATAATTATTCATTTGAATGTTAATTGCATTCCAACAACTAGTTTTTCTTTATGTTTTTTAGCCGCTACAACTTCTGCTGTTCTATGTTATTATTCTAGCAAAATACAACAAAAAATCTCTTGATTTTTCCTCTCAAAGCCATTTTTTTGTTTCACGTAGATGTTTTTTACTATCGATATTCATATAAAAATAGTGTAATAACGTCCATTTCATTCATATGGAAACTAAATATTGCAGCAAATGCATATACTAATTAAATTTTGACATGCTTTGTTACATGTGATAACATTTTTTTGTAGTTCACATCTTTTTCTTGCGTGAAATATCTGGTTTTGAAAATATTTCTCTCGTCATATGCTGGATTGTACTTCAGCTTGTATATGCACTTACAATTAATCAGAATTTGATTCCATTGAGGCTCCACTAATTTTAAGATCTTATTCTTACTCAGCAACTCCATCTCGAGCTTCACGGTGACACTTCACTGGAACAGATGTTAGAACATCTATATATACAGAAGATTTATCTTCTTTCAATATATAAATACAGATTTATCATTACATCAAATATATGAGATCATAAATAGATAAAAATTTTGAATTATGAGTGTAAATTATATAATGATTGTAAATTTTATTTATTTTTTATTATTATCTGATGATAAAAGTCAATGAGATCTTTTTTCATAAGTTCATTCAAAAATTACACGAAAAAAACTTCTTCATAAGTTGATCATGTAAAATTATTTTTAAAATTTCAAATAAATTTCAATTTTATAATAATCTTTCATCAACAACATCATATTTGTATGAGCTCAAAACACAATCATTTGCGTAGAATTGGTATATTTCATAAAAAAAATTAATCTTATAAAATTATAATTATTTATATATTATATATTACATTATAAATATTAAGAAGAAAATTTTTTCACAATCATGCAAATGATGCATGTCAACTAAAGTTTTCAATTATGTTGATTGAAGTAGGATTTACTCAAGATTGAATAGAATATTCCAATATTATGTGCATTTTAAACAAATTTCTTTGATAAAATTAATAAAAAATTTAATCATAATAATAATCTAAGTTTTTAGCTTTCTCAACAAAAAATTTCAGCTTTAAAAACTTTTATTTTTTCCTTCAATTTTCATTAACATTTTTTATTGTTAAGCAAAAATAATAATTTTATTTATAATATATGTTATCGATTTTTGTAAGTCAGGTTTAATTCCAATTTCACATTTAAACAACATGTTTTTTGACTTATTTATAAATCAATCAATTATTGTATGTGTATCAAAAAATGATAAACAATTAAAAAAAATTTTAAGTTAGTAACTAAAAATATTAAAAGTTGTTTTCAAGACATCAAATAAATTACAACTAAAAAGATAAGTACATTAAGTAACAAGACATAAAAAATGAAATTTTCAATTACAAATTTATAAACTCACACAGATAAATAATGTATGATATTTATGCTCATGACATAGCTTTCTAAATACATTATTTGGTGTCAATCGTATTGGTAAAGATTGAAATGAATATTGAACAAAAAAAAAATGAAACTTTCTAAATTTTTGTGCAAAGCAATGATAATATTTCATTGTGCATTTATGCAATTCACTCAAATCTATTATACAAATATTGTTTTCACGTTATGAACAAGTTTCAATTCTGTTCAAGATAAAAGTCATACCGTCATTATTTAAAAATATATCTTTGTACTTTTATAATGAATGAAAAATCATATTTTACCAAAAAAATTGAAGAAACAATTATTATGTTTAGATCTTATATTTTAAGAATGTGTTTGATTTTGATGTGTTTGTATGTATGAAAGTCGATAAAAGTACAATATCTTTGAGCAAATCATTGTAGATGGCATGGAATTTTTGAATTAGAATTGCTTAAAAAATATCTCCACCTTTGCTCTTCACACTATAAATCTTTTTGACATGTACATTCTTGACACATCTTCGCATACTACCATTTTTTTTTTGAAAGTTTATTTCTATACCATCATCTACTCTTACATCTAAAACAATCTTCATTTTTCTCATTCTTTTAAATATGACAAAGCTCAAATCACATTGAATGTAGCATAAAATAAGAGTATGTAAAATTTATCAACATCCTTTTTTAAAAATCATCAAACAAAACACTTACAATTTTGTTGTAAGTGATTTTTTATTACTATCATAAAACAACTCACAGAAAAAAATTTAAATGAAGTATACAATGAGCTCAAATGATGAAGTATTTTAAAGCTTTACGATTAAAGGGCGCAGCTCTCCCCGGCAAGGAGATGCATAATAGTTTATCATGTAGAGCAATATCTACCCCAGAATTGGCCAATACTATTCCAGTAAGTCCCCCTACCGTGAACCGTCAGTTAAATCCTCTTCAAAATTCCAAATATAAGTGACAATATCATCAAATGCGTTTACGTGATATTGAATCTTCATACAAAAATATTTAATCTTGAAATCAATAAGAGTTAAACATGCATACGGCTTGTTTCACAATTTTTTTGAACAAACACATTGCTGAAGATACTCAAAAATTGGAGTATATTTGTTATTTTCATGTATTTGCTTTAAATTCAGATTTTATAAATGCAATAAAATTATGCAAACAATAAACTCCATTATTGTGTTCAATTGCATGATTTAACAACATCAGTTTGATGTGTGATATATATCTTAATGGAATTACAAGTATTACTTTCCGATGACAATACAAGATAACAGTTTTTTAAATTATCATTTGCAATTATTTGCTAGCAAATATCTCACATACTACTTATTTAAATTTTTAGTTGAAAATTTTATTTTTTAAATATGGAAAAAGTTAGCGATTCTATTATAAAAATAAAATCACGCAAAAATGAAATTATTATCAATAAATGTGATTAATATATGTGTTTCACATTGGTTTTATTTGTTTTTCAAATTTTTGTTTGAAACTATCAAATTTAATTTTCATAATGATTTTATATATTTTTTAGTTGATCCTGATAAGAATTTAATTCATTAAAGTGTAATGTATGAATTTATTTTAAAGATCATCATTGACATTTTTTTTGCTAATACTACACCGTTTTAAATATAACAAGAAGCTAATCTTATCATGAAATCTAAAACTTACATATTTGTTTCCATATGAATTAATAATGAATGTGGTTTTTTGCATATATATTTCAATGATATTCTTTAATATTTGAATTAATACGAGATTAATTAATTTTTACTCATGTGCATACAACATACTATGATATATCAAAGTAAGATGGATAAATCTAACATTATCAAAAAAGTTGGAATCTTCACAAATAAAATATGTGTAATATCAAATATAACTATCATTTTTTTCTTTCACACATTGGATATTAACAATCACAATATAGTCATATTGCATATCATGATTTTTATCAAGTTAAATATAATCTACTTGGTTTTCATTTCTTAAATTATATACTTATTAACTTGTACACTTACTTTTTGCTTGCATCAAGAGCTTTTTTTAAGATGACTAGCTTTAACATTTTTTAAATCTTAACATATTCTTTTAGCATAGATTTCACTTTGAAAATTTTGCCTTGCATTTTTATCTATTTTAAGTTAATTCACATTTTACATTCCAAATTGTAATAGATGAAGTTGATTCTGTGAATGATTAACCATATGTTTAAAAATGTAACATTGTTTTAGAAGATTATTTGAATGCACAACAATTGTAATCTCATTGTATGTGTTTTTTTTATAATATAATGAACCAACATTTATAATACAAACTAATATGAAACGTGAGATTATATCAAATCTGATTTGATTTACTTCCATCAATAGTTTTCATCCAAATTGTACAATTTCTCAGTAGTATCATTGAAAGCATGAAAGTAGTTGTGTATCTTTCTTTCTTATTAATTTTGAAGCTCGATAGCTTTAAGTATCAATAGAGAGAATTTGACAATCCATCTTGGTGATTCATTTGTTTAAAATTTATCAAAGAGGTTGATACAATAATCATATTCATACAATAGCTTATTATATGATGTTATAGAAGTAACATAATTATACGAAAAAAGTGTATGCAAGTAATTTTATTCATATACTTACAATAAATCAGTTAGTTTTATCAGTTGCATAAATATTCAAATTTATTAATCTAGAGCATGATTTGTAGCTAAAATTTATCTAAAAGAATATCCAAATTCATCTTTATTGGCTATGTTTTGTTTAAAAAGCAGACTCTATTAAATCCTTTGTTAAAATTAAAATTCATTAAAAAAGTTCATGTGCTATTTTTCATCAAATGCTTCATAATTCTTTAAAAAATAAATTTAATATAATATAAAAATTGTATAGATTCATTTTTTAAAATTATTGAGCATGATCATTGAATGCCATTATTTTTCAAAGGTAAAAAATGATTAAAAATTTTTGAATATATTTATTAATTTATTTTATTTCAAATTCAAAACAATTTATTCAACATATCATGAAGTTTAGCATATAATTAGTTCTAACCTCTCTTTATTGCTATTTTCTTTCTATCACGATGAGTTTGATAAAAAGCCATGGTTTGATCTATATTGTGTAAAAGTATCACATGACTACAAAAATCTAGAAAATTTATTTTGTACACAATTCTTGATTCAATATTTCATGCTAATGCAGTATTAACATTTAAAAAAATACTAGGTAATTCTTAATATTATAATATCAAAATACATGGCATATTTTTTTAATTTATAAATGGTTTATATTCAAATTTTAACTTTTTTATTAATGATTTTGTAAAATTATTTTTTGATTCAAAAATAATTTTGGAGTAATAGTAAATCAAAATCAAAATCCCTACATAATCAAATTAATTATGTATAAATGTGATCTATATCAGTAAGGTTTATGGATTTCATAATTTCGTTCTCTTTCAACTTATGCTTAGAGTTTAAGTTTTGTACATTGGTAGCTTTGTTGAACATAGTTTCAGATCAAAGTAAGTTCTAAATGTTAGCATATGGTAAAATAAAAACATAAATTAACATTGGTGATTTTACAATGTGTTAAACAAAGTTAGAAACATAGGAGTGACACAAAATATTATCATAATCAATCTATTATTATAAATTTTTTGTTGCAAACGGAATGGAATGGAAATTTGCATAAATGCAGTTAAGAAATTACATCAAAACTAATCCACAGTAGACTTATGAACTGTCAGATCTGTAATTATGTTATCTATTTCTGTCGTAAGTTTAACTCTCTCCAGTTGTGGTTATTCAAGTGGTCCTCAATGACCTCTATTCAGAACTTAGCATTATCCATTATTTTCAGTGGCAGATTCTGAATTAAATCACCTAAGCCCACAAGTACTAGTCGACCTCTCTCGAGTTATAGGGAGTGCAAATGTGCCACAGAGTCACAGCGTATATGGCCGTGTATTGCTTGTCAGGTTCACAATGAAGTTGCACTACACAACCCTTTGCTGCTGGTTAACTTCACTTGATTATTTCTGATTATTCGCATCTAACAGTTCGTCATGTCTGACCCGAGTGTAGGATTCAATTGCCGAGGGCCTAAAAATGTAAGAGCTTCCAATCGAGGTCTGCAAATTTGATAGGCTTCACCTCGCTGGGAATTCGCAAGCCCACCGACGTGCAATCCTGACGATTTGCAGTGCAGATACCGAGACTGTGATACAGAAAAGCTTCAAAATCGCCGCCTTGACCTGTTGGAAATACTTGCCTGAACAGAATGAGCCCGGTGGGTGCGATGGTTGTCCTCCTGCCTGCGGCCTGTGCTGCTCGCCGGTCTTCAATGGAGCCGAATGAGCGTGAATCGTGTCCATGATGGATCGAACAGCACTCAGAGAGGTTCGAACGAGGATGTTCTTGCTTAAGGACTAAAACTATGGTTATCGAACGTTTCGGCTGGTTGACGTGGAGCAAGCGATGGCAAGTGCCTCCAATTTGGCAGCCGCCAGGCGATTCGGGATAGATGATGGATCCACGTCGTCATCCTCGTCAGCTGGACAGCGCGGGGGCCCACACGGGCGACGGAGACTTTTCGCTACGCGCCAACAGGGGAGGGGCAGCCTGAGTCGATTCCGTCGTCGTAGAAAAGATTCACGTCGAGCACTAGAGAAGGCCTACGAGGCACGATGCTTCAACGCAAGAGCCTCCACTTGATGAGCCCTTCCTTGGCGTACATGTAGTTCTCGGTTCGAATTTCCTCATCGTGGTGAGTAAGGCAATCGCATGCAACAGCATATCGTACAATACTTTCTGGACCAAGGAAGGCCTCCTGATGGCGATGCAATGATTGATGGATTCGTATATTTCAGGGCCGAAGTAAAGAACGACTTCCTTTAGAGCTCCCACTGCAGACGTATCTAGATTTTTAACTCGTCCTCTTGTCGAGAGAAGGGAAATATGACGTCCAAATTCAAAGATGTTGCGAGTCAGTGGAAAAGTGTGAATATTGTACGCGGACACATCACCAACTTTGTTCTGTAGGAAAAATGGGGTGAATCTTGCAAGGTGTTAGTTATTTTGCAAGTCTGGAGGAAGAGGGAGATGTCGACGCGGAGGTAAAGGTTTGGTTAGTGGAATAAGCTTCCAAAAGCCACGGCCATGATTGGGCCAATTTGATCAAAGTATGTTCGAGACTTAGGAGTCTGAGAACTGGAGGGAGGGGAAGATTGGACAGTGGCACGTAATGATTACGTGATGGTCGAGTTGAGTTGTTTGACTGGCGGAGCACATCCACAGTGCACTTGTGCAACTGGACCGGAGAAGTACTTGCTGGACCTCCTACAGTACAAGTCCAATCGACCTGAGAAGGCCGAAGTTCCTGGCTTGCTTGCTGGCAAGCTGGCTGGATGGATGGAATGATGGATGGAGGTGTGAAAATCGAGGTTGATTACAATAAGAAAATCAGATATTTTTCGTCAGCGCGTGTGTTCTTGGAGTTAGATTCTCCTCTAAGAGACTTTGCCTTCGGATGGGGTCGTCGGAGCAGATTGTGGCCACTTTTGTGGGCTTCTCGGTGATGGCAGGCTTCAATTGCCTGGTACCCATCATCAAATACACAGAACGCAGGCAGCAGGAATTAAAAGAGCAACCAGTGCGTGTCCTGCCTCCCTCTCTCCCTGCCTCGTCTTGTTTAAATAGGACCTCTAAAACCAGGCGTCGGTGGGCGCTCGCTCAGGCAGGCAGGCAGAGGCAGGAAGGCACGCCCTGTTTGTTCGAGCTTGTCTTCCGACGAAAGCACCATCGATCATCGTACGCTCTTCTCCTGTGTATCTCTATATTTATTTGTGTTAGACTCAAAGGAACGGGAAAAGGAAAAAAAGTGTGGACTCCCGTGCTTTAGTTATAGTGTTGGGGATCTCGCGCTGCCTGGAGGCATCTAGTGTTCGAGTGTTTATCGGTCCAAATTATACCGAATTCGAAGGAAGTGGCATCATTTGGTATATGGATCACGTCCACCCTGTGGTCCAGAAGACTTGATGAGATGGTTAAAGTCAATAGGGTAAACTGTAAATAGATCAGAGAAGTGGAAGTGGCTGCTGTTATAGAATTGACGTGGATTTGGTAGCAATCATATCTTGAGAGGGCTTGTCAAGTTTTTGATAGCAATCAGGGTCGTGGAGGACTCATCGAGTTTTTGAAGCATCACAAGCGTGTGGCCTGGACTTTGTACTTGAGCTGGTCGCGACGAGGGAATTTCTTGTTACGAGTACTATAGCCTTTGGGGATGTAGGGTAATTACATTTCCGCACTCATGAATTGACTGAAAGTTCAGGGGAAAGAGAATCAAGCTCGCTAGTCTCTCAGTCTCGAAAAGCGTCCAAATTAACCTCCATTATACTTGTGATGAACAGACATATGTGGCGACTCGCGATATTGAGGGGACAGGCCAGATCTGCTTTGGATTGAGTCAGGGGGCCTGCTGATTTAGTCGAAGTATGCCGGGCTCACCTTTCTATCGTCGAAGGAATCCGCCTGCAAGAGGCGCTCGTTCATGGTCTTTTGCTGGTAAATAGTCCTTACTTCCACTGTCCATGTTATTCCTAGCTCTCAGTATGTTACAGTCATTTGATGTGAGTGGGAAGCTTCCAGTCGCTGGTGTATAGAGAGTTGTAATAAAATTCCGTGTTTCTCTTCTTCTCAGTGGATTTTGATGGTTGATATGATGGGCAAATGGGAGTCATTGAATGAAGGAATCTATTAGAAATGACTGAGTCGACCTATATTTCTCTTGGTTAATTAGCGACGAGATTATGCTACTCATGTTTAATACCAACCAGTTTTTCTCTTATGAACTATGAGTGAGGATTTTCTTTCTAGGACAACGAGAGGTGCATTGTTCCAACGATTTTATCAAAATCTTCACAATCAAGAATGAATTTGATCGCCCATGCTTTGATTCTGGATAGCCTACTCCCGACAAAGATTGGGAGTCGCATGTGAGAGTTTCGTGCATTATCCAGTCTGCTTTAGCTTTCATCGGCTCATGGGAGTCTTTGCTCAGGACTGGATTACGGAATGTCTCGGCCAAGATCACAGCTGGTGGTGAAAGTAGTAGTTGCAGCAACGCTTACTGCACTCTGCATGTTCATACTTCGCCAGTCATCCTCATCCGCTTCTGAAAATGTGGTACGTTCTCGTGGTCATATCTTTGGAGTTGTTTTATTCCGCAGATTTTGGTTGTATTGATGGAGACTTAAAGCACGAGAAACTCAAATTGTTTGGTTTTGGTGGACTACCTCTGAGCTCATAGGTTGTCTGTCATGTCTACTGCCCATCGGGTTTTACTTATTGTCGTTTTGCTTGTCATAAAAACATCTCTTAGGGCTTTTGCATGTCTGTCAGGGCTTTTGGTTCCTCCGGTGGTTTAAGTACCACAGTAGTCGTCGAACTTACGAGTATACCATGTACAACGGAGTGAGACTGTATATCAAGAGGGACAAAACATGGCTTGCTTTCACGAGCTTCATCGTTTTTCCATAATACTCAATCACCGAAGCGACGCAGTTTTCAACTTGTTGAATCTCAAACCATTATGTGAAAACTTAGAGCAGTTCCGCTGCCACTTTCGTCTATTGTCAGGAAAACTCCACTGTGGCCACCAATACGGTACCTCAGGGTCGAAGTATTCTAAGAAATTGCAATCAGTCTTTCTTGAATATATTGGATTGTGTGGACTATGTAGGAACAGTGGTTATATATATCACATCTAATATCTGAAAAGTTCATAAAGCCTTTCCAGAAAATGAATGGCTACCATATAAAAGGATAAGCTAACTTTGTAACTCACGAATCTGTAAATAACTGTATAGAAATGTTTTTTGTGAACAAGATTGAACCGCTAGAAATGAGTGAACTCCCGATTTTGCATCATAGCCAGCTCATAGCAGATGCTAATGTATTTGCTTCCGCAGTTTTCAAGACCACAGGAGGGTGTGCAACATGTGCTGGTCACAGGTGGAGCTGGTTTCATCGGATCCCATGCAGCTATGCTACTCTTAGAAAAGGAGAACTACCGTGTTACTATAGTGGTAAAGTTCCTACATACCTTAGGGAAGCCCCGTGTCGGTGATCCCTGTCCTGAGTTGTCAATGTTGTTAGCGTGCGATGATGATGATGAGGATAGGTGACCCATATACATGATTTCACATTTTATTGGTCGACAGATTATAGTAGCAGACTGAGGATTTTCATACAACCTTTGAGTTCGAGAATGCAAGAGCCATCTTCGTCCGAAATTCCATTACGCGCTATAGAAGTTCACACATTGTAAAAACTGTGTTTTTGGGGAGGGTTCTTTCAGGACTCACGTATTGTGTACCTCTTTGATGTCTTATTATTTTCGATCCATCTAATTCAAAAATCACCTTATTTTTCGTATTTGCAGGATAATCTTTCTCGTGGTAACCTAGGAGCAATACATGTGTTGCAAAGGTTGTTTCCAGAACCAGGTCGACTGCAGTATATTTTCGCAGATCTGGGAGATGCCAAAGCTGTATCCTGTCACAAAGTATAATTTGCAATTGAATATATTGCTTCTATCATTTTGTTTGTTAGAGTGTGGTTGAGAGTTGACTGGCCTTCTTTAACGCAACGACAGGTTGATGAGATATTTGCGAAAAATGCGTTTGATGCGGTGATGCACTTTGCCGCAATAGCGTATGTTGGAGAGAGTATGGCGGAGCCCTTGCGGTAAGTATTCACTTACTGTTTGTGCTGATTTAGAAGAATCGGATTCGCATACTGCTGAAAGTCCTGTTGTTCTGATATTAAACCTGTCAACCATGTCTTTCAGCCTATTCTCTAAAACGAGCTCATCGACAACTTAGAAATGTTTCACTTTTGTCTTTCGGGAATTTGGAGAGAATCTTTTCCACCTTGCAAACGCGTATCACTTTTGTCATGGTGGTATAGAAAATGTATGAAAGTTTTCATGCACTTAACAATTTTCTGACCAGTGGATGTGGGTCTCGACAGTTACTATCACAATATTACCACCAATACCTTGCTACTTTTGGAGGCAATGGCAAAACATGAAGTGTCTAAGTTTATCTACTCGAGCACTTGTGCAACTTATGGGGAGCCGAAGAAAATGCCAATTACAGAAGATACAGAACAGGTATATTTAAGCGATTGGTGCACGCTCTTTTCTTCGTTGGTTACAGTCTCTGGATTCCTATTCAGCCTCGATAGAATCTAGACTAGCACTGCCCTGCCTGTTTACCCTGCTGGGTACCTTTGAATATTGATCTTCCGGTTTGTGAGTTGGGCCGTCGTTGAATTTACTTGTTCTGCACGATATATAATCGCCCGTGTTGATGACCGTCGACCTGGACTCCTATCCGATTCTCTTGCTTCAACCTTCATCCATATACGTTCAAGTCATTGCTTTTGTTAATGCATTCCTTCTAATCAACGTGGGGATCTGCACATAACAATTGGGCCTCAGTGTATCGCCACATCTTTTCATTCCAGTCATAACTGCTAAGGCCTGTAGTGGCCTATGCTGAGGCCTGTACTTATACTCGGTCATCATGTGTGTGTAAATATATTTTGTTTCAGAGTTAATCTTGTACTTGGATAATATCTGTAATTTTTGCTTGTGGTAGTATCGGACATTCTCATTTTCTTAAATGATTTTGTACATACCTCAAATTCGAATATTATTCTGACGAGGTGAACCATTTCTTTCAGGTTCCAATAAATCCATACGGGAAGGCTAAAAAAATGGCAGAGGAAATCATCAAGGATTACGCCAGAACTAAAAGAATGGCGGTCATGATTTTACGGTAATTCAGTCCCGTCATTATTAATTCTTATGTTTTAATTCCAGGCCTTCCACTCAATGTCATACGTTCCCAGTACCCAACTTTGAAACTTTTTATGGAAATTTAGGCAGCTGAACTCAGACGCTTGTATGTACAAAATTGCTTATGAGCTTTATCATGCTGATGATGCGTCAGGTCACGAGATAGATACAGATTTGGTCAGCCTAGTATAGGGGCTACAAAGGTTGCAGATTCTCTTGAATTAGCGTTCTGGTTGGGTCCAGGAGTTGATGATATCAGTAATCCCGCTCGTGAGGCTCTACCAATCTTTTGATTTACTGACTTCGGGATACTTTAGAAACTTCGTATTTAACCTCTTTGTTTGCATCAGGTACTTCAATGTGATTGGTTCCGATCCAAAACTGAGGTTGGGGGAAGCACCGAGACCAGAACTTAGAGTCCACGGGCGTATTTCTGGTGCTTGTTTCGATGCAGCCAGAGGATTTAGAAGTGGTCTAGAGGTAGCGTCCTTCTTTCCAGTAATGTCTTGAGTTGTTTTTGATTGTTATTACTAGATGCCGAGACCACGAGTTTATAACCCTTCATGTGGTATATTTTCAGATACGGGGTGATGATTACAATACGAAGGATGGAACATGCATAAGAGACTACATACATGTTACTGATTTGGTGGAGGCACATATTAAAGCATTAGATCGCGCGGAAACAGGCAAGGTGGGAATATACAACGTTGGTACCGGAAAAGGTATGTGAAGTCCTCAATAGAAAACTTGTCCTATAAACCTTTTCTTTTCGCTCATGCTGTCTTCACGTACTTTTTCCTCGACTCCTTGAAGACAGGAGTTTTTCCTCTTTCTTGATTCTAATCTCGTGTAGTCACCGTTCAGTTTCTTGGCAAACTTATGCCTTCCATACACAAACACAGTTTTGTCTCCATACCTTCACAAATCTATCGACCTCTGGTCCCTCCCTTGAATGACACAGATATCCTATGCATTCTGCTCTGAGTTTGGTAGATTTATTGATCCGTTTGTGGGGACTCAGTATGAACACCAGATATTTTACAAGTTTTCTTCGTATATTGAACTATAGCTACTAACGATGACTGTCGTCATTTTTAAAAGACTCCCAAAACCTATGTTCTCACTCAATCTAATTTCATGATTCAGAATGGCCTCTGAACGATATCAATTTAGCTAAGAACGCTTGCAATGTTCAGTGTTGTAGTGCTTTCTTGGAGTAAAGCTGTCAAATTCCTTATCTTAGCTACAAATGTTCCGTGAATCTTATACTAGAGAAACTAATATATCCGATTGTATTTTCTGTTTGTGAGAACTGGCTCCTCTGTTGTGTTTCAATCCCATATGCTACGTTGTCTTCCTGCGACCTACAAGGCGATAAACTTCGTCGATATGAAGGTTTTAATGCATTTTTCTTGAAAGCTCCTTATACCACCTCCAATTCCTTCTTAAAAGAAGTGACATTTTTCTAATCAACTTTCCTGGATATTGTATGTATAGGCTACAATTTTTGCTTTCATTACGTCTTCAGTATTGAATTTTCTTTGCGTAAGTTTGAACTGATCTTACTTTAGGCAGGTGACTTTTACCAAATAATCTCAAGCTTTTAAACTTCTGCATCTTCTTACGCTTCACTTCCCACTTTATAGGTCACTTTGAGTTAGAACTTCTAAGTTTGTATCTTCATTCTTAGAACTTCACAACACTCTTTTTGTCCGATCGTGCCCGACAGAATATTGCTGCGTAAGATGCCTCTCTTGATTTCGAGAGAGATTTCGCTGTGTCTAGAACTCATCTTTACATGGATTAACTCCTGTTTCGGTTCTGAAAGTAACTAACATTCTCTGCCGATAAAGTTGGGTCGGCTGAATGGAGTGCAGCTTAGAAATATGACGAAGGCAGTGGTTTCGTTCTCATGACTAAATATTATATCTTACGTTCAGGTTTGTCCGTGAAAGAGTTCGTGGAAGCGTGCAAGGCCGCCACCAAGGTCAACATCACCGTGACCATTTTAGATAGGAGACCAGGCGATTATGCTGAAGTTTACAGTCAGCCGAAAAAGATAAATGACGAACTTGGGTGGAAGGCGAAGCATGTTAATCTTACAGAGACCTTAGAAGTGGCCTGGAAATGGCAATTGAAGTATCCGAATGGATATAACAACGAGATTATGTCAGCTGTTTAAGCCACTCTTTTATTCCTATTCATCTCATATTGTTTCATCCATGGTGTTTAACGAGCTCCCTTTTAGCAAGAATCTGTGCCTCTTCACCTTAAATGATTACGAGACACGAAAAACTGGTACCGTGTTTATTTCATCCAGTTGTAGAAATTAGATCATTGATGTAAATCAGTATCCAATCTGTATAAATTCTTTCGGAGTATCTATGATTATTAGCGTTTAGGATTCGTTTGATTCAGACGAAAAGCTTTTCAGTTTATGGGTTGTTGCACGGATTGGTCACTAGAAATATGCAGGAGTATTGTAGCAATTTTGGTTACAATAACCAAAAGATGTATTGGATCTCAATATTTGTCACTTGGGAGGTCAATTTATCCCACATTTATTTCCTAGATATTAGTGGTAAACGTCACATACACATGAGGACAAATATCTCAAGTTAGGCAGCTAACCAGCTTACAAGTTTTGGCCTCAATCCGAACACGATTGTTGTCTCAAGATTAGTTTTGAATTACACCGGTAACACTTGTACTTGTTATAGGCTTTCAATCAATTTGATTCTCACCCTTTTCAGAAAAATTTGGCGCTTCCTCGAGATTGTCAATAATGGCTTTTGAAACAATTATTCGGCTTGCGAAGGTGCAGATCATGTGATTGGACCATCTACTAGCTACTTTTTGGGCCATCTTGTCAAAACACGAAGGCAGAATCCCAGATATGTGGACATTTACTAAACATCGAGTACGGTTTGTGCGCCGTTTTGACACTTGCATTCACGAACAAGCTAATTTCACCAAACAGGAAGTGTTAGTAAACTTCTTAAGTCTTCATGAATGTTAGTAAACATGGCCATTTTTGTAGGGACCGCAAGGGTAGGCCTTTTAACACTGGTTATACGTATCCCTCATAATCTGCTCATGGTAAATGTCTTCGATATTATCCTATTCGTCTAAGTAAGCTCTTAATATGATAAAATCAGTTGAGTGTGTATACAGAAATATTTCTTATGTAAATAGTGCCCGCCAAAGAAAGTCACTTTGTGTGTTTGGGGTAGATGTTTTTGTTTCACGGAGATTGTTTAAAGTGTCATTCTTGTCAAGGTTAACATCAGCAGGTGGATATTGCTATTTACTAGAGTTTAACCTTCCAATAGTGACATCTATTGGTGCTAGGTTTCCAGGTCACTATAGATGTCACTCAGACGAGGTTGGGTAGCATTTAGCGGATCATATAGAAACATTCTTATTGCACGTTTAGCGGATCTGTTAAATATTTTATTGATAATGTGGCGGATAATATCATTCTTGAAGATTTGTCTTCGAATTCAAATATCGGATTGACTTTAGTAAGCATAACCTCATGATGCCAAAAGTAAAGCAGAGTTATAAATTGTGGAAAATGAGCAAGCAAAGCTCAGGTCTCCAAGCTAATACAGAGTTATAAGTGGTGAGAAGTGAGCAAGTAGAGCTAAGGTCTCCAAAATAAATCACACTTATAAATGATGAAAAGTGAACAAGCAAAGCAAGAAATTTGTAGAGTGAGTTGTGTCTTTTCTTGCCTGTAAAATGATTGAAGCAACAAAATGAAAGTAACACAACACTAATATCAAGATTATATGGTGTGATTATATGGACAAATAAATTTTAATAAATCAAGATTATAGAACCACAATTTTTGTATTTTTTCAGAGCAGGATGCGGAGTAGCGCAGTCATGACAAGCGAGAGAGTGCAAGGAAGACCTAGGGCATTGAGGGGAAGTCAAGACAGGGTATGTGGTGTGGTTCCATGTCATGTTAGTGGCGACCAAGAGGTGAAATCAAAGTTTGGGAGTTCGGTTGAAGTAACGGCAATAAAGAATCAAATTCCATTTATTTTTAAAATTACTATTGAAACCGTCACTAACAGATAGTATCATGTCACTATTGCCAATAGTGATAGTACCGTTCTTATTGTATATATTTACAACTTAAAAACTAATGGTTCTTAAATTCTATGTCACTAATAAGACTTCACACTACTCGGAGGTTTAACTTTGTAGTAACCCAGTGAAAAAGTGTTGAATCTACTTCAATATAGCAAGATGTGCAGATGATATCTATATTAACTAGAAGATTTTTTTATTTTTTCACTTGATTCACCTTTGAACATAATAGCGATAAACAATCATATAGAACTACAAGATTTCTGCCGGCCCAAAATTGATATATAGATATAAATAAATATCATTGAATGCTCTTATATGAAATTTATGAGTAAACATAAGAATCGATAAAAGAAAACTTAAACACGAAACAAGCTGTTCACATAGTCAAGTATATGGTTTATCCAAACTCGGGATACTTTCACGGGATGAGTCAATTGGTTACTCCAAAAACTAACACAAATGTTTAGTTAATCTGGGCGAGACGTGTGTCTCCCTTCCCCATATATATATATATATATATATAAATATACATAGTTCACCCAAAATCTAGCTACGTCCACGAGATGAACCAATTGATTACTCCAAGAACTGATACAAATGTTCAAGTAATCTGGGCAAGATTTTTCTCGCACTTCCCTATTTATAAATACATGGTTCCTCCAAACTCGAGATAGTTACACGGGGATGAACAAATTGACTATTCCAAGGACTAATGCAAATGCTAAGATAATCCGGACAAGATGTTACTCGGCCTCCCATAAATATACCTGGCAGCTGAAATCCTAGGGTTAATACTAATTGGGGAACTTATTCTAGAAGTAATTTGAATTAGTTTAACTTGAGTTAACCCTAACATCAATTTTGTCAACCTTAGTTAAAATGAATATTTACTGAAATAAATGCAATAATTTCCATATTTTATTTAAAAAAAGAGAATAATGATAAATGAAAATAAATGACAAATAACTTGCTGATTACTAATATTTCATGAACATGATTTCTTTTCATACAATATCAAAATATTTTTGAACTTACTAATTGATATTCTAATTTATATCTTCCAATCTTATTCATTGGAGTATAATGTTTGAACTGGAAAGTTAGGATCTTAAAGCTCTCATCTTTTACAATTTTTTGCGGCAAATAATCTAGAAAGACATTCTAATAATCTTAAATGATTTGTGTATCAAGTTTTACTTCATAGAGCATATTCATCAAATACTAATATATGTGCACAACTCCCTTCTTTTCCATCATCATGTCATTAGTTATGGCTTTAAGATTTATAAGTGAAAACAAAACTTGAGTTTACATGTATCAAAACTCTAAACAAGCCCTTCACTAGTTTGATCTTCAGCAAATTGACATAGATGGTACCACAAAGAGAAGAAAATGAGATTACATAAATATCAATAAACTTATCCAGACACTCTCAATAAATTTAATAATAATAAGAAGTTAATAATAGTCCAAGCGTCACTATTCATTCTCTTGAATCCAACCACCTAGGTCGAATTCCTTCACTATGTCAAAGACAAATGCGTTGTATAGAGCCTGCTTATTTTGTATTTCTCTCATCCCCAAAACCTTTCTCTACAATATAGCCGAGGATAATTTTGATTTCCTTGTCATTTCGACCTTGTGTAATTCTTTTCCCCTTTGTACAACTTTGTAAAATTTTAGTTTGTGATAATCTTATCACCATGCAAAATCTGTTCTCAAGTATTCTAAAGGCGATTGCCACTTCTTTTGTCCACTTCAATGACAACACTGCAATAGTTGATTTTTTCTTCAATTTTTGAGTTGTCATGTATGTTCACATCATGTTACAATTGACTGATAAGTACCAAATATAATATTTATTTCATCAATGAAATAAAAATAATATGTAAGAGTATTTATAGTAATAGTAATCGTTTTATAGTCAGTATATTTGCTAATTTTCATTTAAAAGAGCCAACATGTTCCTCATGCTCACAAAGTATACATATCCAAAGAGCAATTTTTGTTTACATGTCATACGCTTAGAGTTTTATATGTCATATAATAACAAAGTGGAAAATGTGAAAGTTAACTATACCTATTAAAAAATAACTATAACTTGTATTAGTGTTGTTTAGTACATATTGGCTTTACGATTGGAAGTCTCTACAAGATAAAGTTCTCATGCATTTGATCATAGAAATAGAGCTTTACGGTTGGATCGCGCCACTGAATATGTAACAGATGTATTTTGTTCCTCAGACCTTTTTTTTAGAAAGTAAGTCCACATGGAAACTTAAAAGTATAAGAAGATGTTTACATATATGTTATTGAGAAGACACATGAAATTAAGAAAATCACTACATGACACAACTTAAAAACTTTGGACATGATTGAAATTTCTAACAAAAATGAACTTGATGATAATGATGATTTGATTACACATGAGTTGTTTTGCTAGATGTACCTCTTGTCGATGACTATGTGTTCAAAGTATCAGATAGTGTCTTCCAACGATTTCTATCTACTTAAGGTGGAGAGCAAGATCTAATTGACTCGAATGATGTAAACCTTGATTTGAAATATTACCTAAGTGATTATTTTTGTGATTGTTTGATTGTCTCTCGTCTATCTCCTAGCAATTGATATCAAAGCAAAAAAAGAGACAAGACGCTGTTAGCAGATCTAATGAGAGTCAAAAGTTGTGAACAAAGTACAATAAGCATCGCACGGCCGTTGCCACACACAAGACGGATGACTTTGACAACTGGATTGATCTGCATCAGATCTCCCGCCATAGCCATCTTTGATTGCAAATTGCTGCCTCTTTGATTCTATATGCAACCTTTTTTCTTGCGTTCCAAGCTTGTTCTTCTCCTTGGAAAACACTTTGATTCATGAAATCCACCATCACCATCCTCTGTTTGCCAATACGATTGTCGAAATGGAGACTCTTGTGAGTGCGAGTCACTATTTGACTCGTCTGTCACTCAGCAAAACATGATGGCCTAGCATTGCCAAAGATGTTATTTTGAGACTAGTGCAGCAACTTCAACCCTAATTTTGTCTGCACTCTGGAGAAACGGACAAAATACTTCATATGAACGGTTGCATTGTTTTTTTTGTTGGTTGAAATAATCAAGTTTACTTGAAAGGAGGAAAAATTTGCAGTTTCACTAATCCATTTGCTGAAGAACATGGTGTTTAATTAACTCCTTGGGCCGTATAAAAAGATTGATACATATGAGTCAATACATTCTATACTATAGAAAAATGTCTTTTGCATTACAACTATTGTTTGTTCTAGATTTGAGACATGCTAAAAGAGAGATCTGCATATTCAATTTGAAGATTTTCACTCAAGTTTACCTCATATGGCTTTGAGCTAGTTCATTAAGATTTTACAGTACAAGAATTGAAGTCTCATTGCAATCATGCTCTTACATAATTTCTTCACTCATCATCGAAATTCAATTAGTAATATAAATTTTCAAAATCTATGGTGATATGAGAACATTAGTATTGGGGTTTATCAAAAAAATGATCATGTTCAATTTAGTAACAACTAAGTTTCGTTATCAAAACTATACTTAGTTGAATATATTTAAAATAATTTAAAAAGTTACTTCTAAGCATTATCATTGTATCTTGTATCA